AACAAATGAGCTTACAGTTCACTTCAGAAAAGGCGTACAATACAGGCTTCAATGAAGACAATGAAATGGATAATTTTAACTGCAAGCAATAGTAAACAGTTAATTAAACATACTTAATACTTTTGGAATCCTCTTTAGCTTACAAATATTTATCATACAAAAGAACAAGCAATTCTAACACTCCAGGTCAACATAGTTTCTTCATATTTTCTAGTGATATTGTACATCCTATGTCTACAACTACAATTATGTCATCAAATTTGATTTAAGCATATTATTAACATCCATAAATACAAGTATATTTACATTGAAAGAAATGTTGTATTACAGGTCAATAGGTTCAATTCACGCAACTCCTGAATATTGCTGCCACCTTCAGGAAATACATGATAAAAAAGGACCAAAGTATTAATTAGAAAATAAATAGAAAATTAAGTCAAGGTCTGTGATGCCACTTGGTTATTATGTTGTACTTCTGTGAGATTAATTTTCATAATGGCATATAAAGATAATTTCATTATTCTCAATTTCCAACAAAGACCTAAGTCTGATGATAAGAGGTCTGCCTAAGGCCAGTCAGAGCTAGTAACACATGTCCTTGGCTCCTTGAAGTTTCATCAAAGGAAAGTTGTGGATCGGAAAATTATTTTATTGGCACTTGGATATTTATATTATCATTGAAACTTATTTTGTCTTTGATTCTTTGAAGTAGTTACTTAGCATTCCAGTATAGATTTTATCCCCTCATTTCCAGTAGTTACTTTTACAACCACAATCAGAGCATCTATTGAAAACTGCGTCATAAAATACAGATGGAAAAATCAGTACCTATATATTCATTAAGTTACATTTTTAATCAATAACATTCCTGATTGGTATTGGACAGGCTGGTTCAGAGCTGGTGCTTAACAATGTTATGTGAGAGTTCTATCGATTTCCTGCCAGTTTCTCACTTTCCAGAAAAAAGAGATCAGAACAGCAAAGTAAGATCTTCAGCCTTTTTGAAGTGTCAGCATAACTGAAATTTAATCACCAAATAAGCAAACTGACCTAATTTGATTTTTGATTCCTGTAATAGTTTACACGTATCTCATACCAGCTTAGCTCTGAACAGGTATGTACAAAGTCATCTGATGTAACTCTAGACCTGTCAGGACACCTTACATTTTCCCTGTTACGGAACTGATATAAATTCTGTTTGCATGTATTCTTACACAAGACTTCTAAGTGCAGCTGATAGTATAAGTTCTCCAGCCTGCAACCCTTGTGACCATTTACCCACCATTTCCTTAGTGTTTGTTTTAACGGAAACATCTATCCAGGGGTTAGTATTTCCCCAGAGTGCACAGGGAGGAAAGGACAGATGGTCTCCAAAACAGAAAATTTCCTTTGGAGATTATTTAAAAAGATTTTCCCATAAGCAGTAATATTTTAAGCAGTTTCCTTTTTGATATTTATGATTAGATTATGATCTAAAGATGTCTTAAAACATGTTCATTGTTCCTCCAAATTTGGGAAACTGCCATAGATGTGACGTGCAAGGGCAACAAATGCCACAGCATTCATACAAGGCTTGATGAAGTACCCTCGTTTTTTATTTGCAAGCTCAAGAACTGCTTAAGGAATGTTAGTGAGCAGAAAAGTGGTGAAGAGTTCTTGTGCTACCTCCAGAACCAGAATTCACACTTTTTTCTCCTTTCCTAACTTATTTCTTCCTTTTCATATCTTAGTCCCAGTTTGGGAAACTCTAAAGTGAGGAAACCTTGGCTCCTTCTGATCTTCATTTAGCACTGAAATGGGAGAATAGAATATTGCTTTTGTTTGGGTTTGGTTGAGTTTGCCCTAGTCAAGTGAAGTTTGCCTTCCCTTTTAGTTCTTTGGTATATAATCCTTTGTAAACTGTATCAGCCAAGGAAAGGCTGATAAACTGGAATTTCAATAGATACTGGCTGTGCTACATTTTTTTATGAGATACTAAACCCCAATTCCTTTAGTAGGTCCTACATACAGAGTTTGTGAAAGTCTTAGCTAGAGTCTTGGAGAAACTAACAGTTGTGTGTCAACTACATAAATCAAAAATTTCTCCAGACTTTGTGTATCATCCAGAAAAAGTACTGTTGTGGGAAGTTACAGTGAAGAAAAAAAGCTAGAAAGAGCAGAAAGTGGGGAAAGAAATTGTGTTTCTGTCATAATGACATGGGCACTAACACAAGCTGTTTCCACTACTACCACCAGCTGTAAAGAAGATTCCTCTCTTTTCCACAGTTTCCTTTTTTTTTTCTGGTCTGCCACATTGAAGACACTGCAGAAACTTTTCAAATTTACAGAAATTTGGCATAAAATGATAATTCAAAACTGGGACATGTTCAAGGTATGAGGAGAAAAATATACAATTAAATTAAACTTCTTTATAATACTTAAATTACTCTACAATACTTAAATTACTCACATTCCTATAATGTTTTCCAGTTTGAAACTCTGCTTACTTTATATGCTACACACTCTAGGAATTTGTGTACTTGTTGTTTCCTTTAATTTTCTAAAATTAAAGAAGTCAGCGCTGTGACTTTCCAACAGTGCTGAGATCTTATGAGAGTTATTTGTATCTCATGCCTTCCTGAACTGGAGTTAGAAGCCAGGCCTTCCTGTTTGTACAAATGAGAGAGATCATCTGGAATATTTTTACCAAGGAGAAGGAATTTCTAGAGTAAGAGAGAGTGGAATTTCACCAGTGTGAAAGCCACACGAACAATTTCACAGTGACTGCAACCTCTCTCACGTGACAGACATCCATCCATGTAAACATACTGTACTTCAGAATAGTGTTCACTCTGGATTATCACCCTTTGGAAGGTGTCTGTCTGGATGCATCCTTATAATCATGGCCAATGGCATCTGAGGTGTGCCAGCTTTATTCACAAGAAAAGGCTCCAGGTTCCAATGGCTACAAAGCATGGCTAAAGAAGCTGGATGCAATATAGAGGGTGGGAGAGGGTAGAAAGAAATTGAAGGATTTCAGGAATATCACAAGGACATATTTCTGTGATGACACTACAAGCGTAACTTTTCTTATAAGGTGTTTTATAAGATAAGGAAGGCTTCTTAAAGTGGAGACTCTTTCAATAAGGACTACAGATGCTGAACAATATATACATTGATTTTTTTTCTATTCCTTATCAGCTATGAAACTGAGATGCTGTTACTTGTATCAGCACTCGTGAAGTGATAAAGGAATTAGAAGTGTTGCATCACAGCACCTCTCAGTTGGTATGAGGACAGAAAAGAAGCAAACCATTCCGCTGCCTGTGAAAGAAGAACCTGGCATGGATGAGGAATAAACTGCTGTCACTTGCAGTCCATTCCAAACAGTGCACTTTAGAAGATGGGAGAGTGCATGGCCAAGCTAACAAGACTTTGGTCAGTTTACTGGTGGCCCTTTGCAAGCAGCAGTCAGCAGAAAATTTCTCCAGTTTTATTTTGTGGGTACCTGAGGGCACTGGCCATATTCAAGCACTGAAGAGCTCACTGCAAAAGGTATCACAGAAAATTTGTTGCAACCCATCAAAATCTGGTTTCTGAGAATAGGCAGTAAGAGAGATTTGTGTTCCTCCTGAATCATCCCTTTTCAATAGACGTACTGTGGTTTACAAACTTAATTCCACTGTGCAAGTAGATGCCCACAACTAAGTAGAGCCCTGTTAACTGAAGGGGCTACAGGTCCAGTTAAAGGAACCAGTCCTCATGGAAGATTAGTGTTACATGGAAGATAACATTTAAGGGACACATCATTGTGGAAGATTAGCATCACCCAACATCAGAATCAGTAGAAAAATGTAGGAGGAAAGGAAACTAATGCTCTGTGTAATACCTTGCATGCAAGCACTGATGAACATCGTTATGAGTGCTTACAGTAACTATATTCTGGTTTATTATAGATGACCCAATAGAAATCATATCAAACTGCTTTTCCTGTTTTTGTGTTATGCAAAACTTTATGTTTTATGTATTTATTTGAGAGAAAAAAAACACTGTTATTTTTAATATTTCCTTAATTACAGGAGGGAATGTAGAGTTAAAGAGGACTGAAAAATTCCTTGCCGTTCATTATTTTATTTATTGAGACAGCCTGCTCCCCTGCTGATGTAAACTGGGAATAACAGCACGACTGTATTCCTTTGAGAGGGAAACCTGGGGGCCACCACCCCTGGCTAAACAGAGAGGAGCCTGAAGCCGGGAGAGCTGAGCATTCCTGAGCTCAGCTGGGGATGCCCGTACAGCAAACACAT